ATTATTTCTTACACGTGAAAATATTTCCTATAATTTGAAATTGTTGGTAAAATTGATATATAAAATAATTAAAAATACGAATATTAATAATATATTTAATACAAAAAATACGACTTATTCAAAATTAGATTAATTTCTTCAATCTAAACCCAACTTAAATATTTTATTATAAAATTCTTATTATAAAATATAAAATTTTTTTATTTAATATAAAATTATATTGAAAATTTAATTCATTGTGCATAATTCGGGTAAATGCAGTAATAAAAATAATATAAAGTGAGTTGAGTATCTAAAAATAATATTTTTGGATATTATAATACATTTTTATTTTTAATTAATATTAATGTGTATATATAATGACTATACAATTTTATACTTATATCATTAATTATTTTTTTTTAGTTACTTTTTATATTAATTTTATTATACTAATTACATGCTGAAAATAACTTTATTTTCTTGGAAAATACTGAATTATCTTTATATATATTAATTTGAATTATTTTCTTTCTTTATTATTTAAACAATTATAAAATTTATCTTCCAAAAAACGATTTAAATTGAATAATGTTCTATAATAAGATTACTCATTATTTTTATTCATATATATGAATTTATTTATTCATTTAACTTAATAAATTGTTTATAAAAATTTTATTTACTTTATTATACGTTTATTTGTTTTTTTATTAAATATTTTACTTATTTTTTTTTTTAAATCCGATTTTTCTCGTAAATATTGATTTTGTGACACAATTTGAGAAATGGAAGGAATCAATCACTTTACAAATGACACATTTGCAGAAAATCGGTCAAAATTGACACATTGAACTATAAATAGTACATTTAAAAACAAAAATGTTATTTTTCGAAATTTCAATGGAAACAATAATTTAAAATTGTCGTCCTTAAAATTCATAAAAATTAATATTAATAATTTGCAAAGAACTAAAGTAATTGTTCAATTAAACAAACAAAATTGACACATTGAACTATGAATAGTACATTTAAAAAAAATCTGTTATTTTTTCGAAATCTCCATAAAAATAATAATTTAAAATTGTCGTCCTTAAAATTCATAAAAATTTATAAAAAATATTTGCAAAGGGCTAAAGTAATTGTTGAATTAATTTAAGTACAGAAAATTATACTTTTCTCAATTATTTCTAAATATTTAATAATTTTAAATATACACTTCAAAAAATCTATTAAAACCCTTACTAAAATGTTATTATTAATTAATTAATTATTTATTATAAAAATTAAAATTATTGTTTTATATAACTACATATGGTAATTATTCAAAAAATATTCAAATCAATTTCACCAATAATTTTAAATTAATTTTATATTAAAATAAATCATAAATGTTTTATATTATAAAATATTGCAGAAGACAATTATTGGCAACTTGTATGAATGTGTGAATGGATTTATTTATTTATAATTTATATATATATATATATATATATATATATATATATATTAATATATTTATTCATAAACAAATTATTTTTATTCCAGAAGCGATAAATAAACATTTTAAGCAGAAAATGCATTTAGATGCAGTTCAATATAAAAAATGCAGTTTAGTAGTAGATGTATGTTATTCAACTAAAATATTATCACTAGTATTAATCAATAATATCATATGAAATATTAAATATTATATTGTCATTTTAATCAATAAATGTATTAATGTAGTCTAAAAATTGTTATAATTATATGTATACTTTATTGTATTGTTTATTGCTATTCAGTATATAATAATAAATATATATAAAAAAATATAGTAATATAGAAGTTGCTTCTATTACTTTTAAAATAATTGTTGAATTTTAAAATACATGATATTTAATTTTTCAGGCGCTATAAATTTTAATAAATAAATAAATTATATTGTCAAAAAAAATCTTCTCTTCGCTCTGTAATTTGTTGGTAATTCTTTTACATTTTGAAAGAGTAAAAAGACATTTCTCTCGTTAATTTCCAATGTGCTTTACAATATGGAATATTTCCTTTAAAATGACTCATTAACTTTACAGAATGTCTTGAATAGAATTGTTATTCGACAGATAAAACCTTCTTTACCTGTCGAATAACTTATTCAAGACCCGTTATTCGACGGAATACTTTAAATTCTTTCAGAATGGTTTAATTTTAGTTAGAAGTTGCATCATTATTAAAATGTAAAAACAGGTAAAGGATACAAATCAAATGTTAAAAGTTTCTAATTTAGAAACAAGTTATAACGCAAATCAAATTTTTTACTAAAAATTTAAAATTGTAACTATTTCACTAATTTTATATAACAGCCACACGTGGACTTTTTACATAGCATTATTATTTTTGTATAAACTTTTTATACCAAATTTTAACACTATTATATTTCTTAAGTATCACAATTCTTAACTTATTACCTTTTAAAATCACTTCTATTAACTTTAGACTTTTAATTTCAATAAAATTAATAAGGATACTGATATTCATAATACTAATATCAATAAAATCATTAACTTCATTTTAATAGTCTGCATTTAACATTATTTGTATTAATTTGAACTATAATTTATAATTTTTATAATATTTTTTGTGTTTTCAATTTAATTATTAATTATAGTAAAAGTTGTTATATAAAATAATATCTTTTATATTTGTTTTAATTTGATAAGTAATTAGCATTAATTTTTCCAAGTATTTTAATAAGGGATTAATATTTTAATTTATTATTTTTATTAAATAAAAAAAATTTTCATGTTTTTTTTCTATGTACTATTTAAGTTCAATGTATCAATTTTGACCGATTTTCTGCAAATGTCATTTGTTAAGTGATTGATTGGTGTCATTTTTCAAAATGTTCCTCAAACTCTATATTTCCAAAAAGTCGATTTTTTTAAATATAACTAAAATATTTAATAAAAATTAAATAAACGTATAATGAAATTAATAAACGAATTATAATAGTAAATTTACTCTTTTTTTTAGTTTCTTAAAAAATTAAACGTAATAATTTACGTCATAAGATTTCAATGACAAGGAAATCTAAACAAGGCAGGAATAATGTAATATCTTTTATAATTTATATATATATATATATATATACATGTATATATATAAATATTTAAATATTAATGAGTCGAACTCGTCATTCATCCTTTATATAAATCACTGAATGAATTCTAAGTAGTTCAATTAGCATATGAATGCAAATAATTCATAAATAAAAGTATATACATAAATTTATATATATATATATATATATATATATATATATATATATATATATTATATATGCGTTTACATATAATTTAAAATCGTTATAAAATTATTATTTAAAAAAATAAATTTGGCGCAAGTGTTATTTTCATCAAGTCAAAGTTTTGCAAAATTTTCCTTAAATGTGTAAATAATCTACTTAATGAATAAAAATTTAAATTAGAACATGCACGGTGTATGTTCTATGAGTGAAAGGTATTAAATCTAGCTATTAAATAAAAAGCTATTAAAAAAATAAACTATTAAATAAAAAGTTCATTTAGACGAGAAACTCGTGAATGGAATTGAAAAAAAAAAGATTATTATAATAACTAGATAGTTCCATTAACTTCTCGTAAGGTAAGTTATAGTAATAGCAAAAAAATCAAAAATGAAAATCTTCAAAGGTTAAATAAAAATAGCCCTATATATATATATATATATATATATATATATCTATATATATTGAAGTATGTGGAGTTTGGTGTTGATATATATTTTGATGAGTTATTTAGAATCGGACAGTAACACCAAGTTAAAAAACTAAAGTAGATTTGAAATACTTAATTTATCCAAATTAAGCCAAATTTTTACTTGGTGTTACTGTCCGATTTTAAATAACTCATCAAAATATATATATATATATATATATATATATATATATAAATTCATCAGTCCTAAACGATTATTCAAATTTTGATAAATCTTTCTGAAGTTTCTTAAGGATTTTGTAGGATGTAAATGACAATATAAAACAATAGTAATATTGTAGAAGTAAATGGCAAAAATTACAAAAAACATTTCAACTGTCATCTGCTATAAATGTCAATTCACTTGAAATTTGAATTTAGCTGAAATTATGAGTCTAGATAATATTAGAATGTAATATACAAAAAAAATGTAATGTCTAAATTATGATTGCCGAAAAGCAGCTGAGATGTGCCACAAATTGAAATAATATAATATACAGTCAACAGTATATGGTTTGGCAGATGAAATTATATAATTCAACATAATAAGTCCAAAATTTATGTTTCACAGGTTAAGTCAAATTTTTCAAAAAAGTAAACTTTTTTTAAAAAATTAAAATTCTCAAAAATCTAATTTGTTTAAAGCTTTGACAAAAATTTTAAGTATTTCAGAAAATTTTAGTAGTCGGTACGGGAAGTTCCAGCAATTTGCCTCAAGGAACGATGCCATGCACCACTAGTTTTATTATATATGGTGATTATTATTAATTATCATATTCCAGAGAACTAATTCAAGAGAATTAAATTAAGAACCAAATCAATAATTATTGGTTGTGGATATTGTGATTTATTAGAAAAAATAGTATTTATTAAAGTATTTTAAATAGTATATAATAAAGTACTTACACTTTATCAAATAATTTATTAAAATTAAAATTTGCAATATTTATAAAATTTATGTAAAAATTACAACGCATTGAAGAAAAATTATTTTTTAAAAATGAGAATACGGTGGAGACGTTTTTACCAGGTACAATGGTGAAGCCAAATTGCTAGAGCAACATTTAAATAATATAAAATTTAAACAATTATTATATATATATATGTATATATATATATATATATATATATATATATATATATATATAGGTGTGTATGTATTACTATTACTATAGACGTGTATAGAATAAAGAAGAACAACGCAGCCTCATATAAATACATTAAAGTGCAGAGACTTAAGAATTTTTCAGTAGTAGTTCGACTCGCAAACGACGTGGACGTATTTCGAATACCGATCCATACAAAAGTCCATAAATGATATAATAATAACAAATAGTAATAATAGTAATAGTAATTAATTTATTTGTTTAAAATTATTTAATAAAATATCAGTGGTGCCCAACAGTTTTGTACGTTAGTGTTAGTGCTTGTGGATTAACAGAAGGTAAGGGTAGTAATAGTAATATATACATGTATTTATTTATGTGAATTTATATATATATATATATATATATATATTATAATTTTAAATATTATACATACTTGCATATTAAATTCAAAATTAAAGAAAAATTTTTTTATAAATATCTGTTTGACTTTAAATTATAACAATCTTGAATTATTTATTATAAAAATTAAATTAAAATTTTAAAATTATATTTTTGAAAAAATTGAATATTGAATTAAAATATTAATATTTAATATATATTCATAATTTTTAATTAAAAAATATATTATTAAATATTTTTTTAAGTAACCCCATACGAATAATATTGATAACTTTTTAATTATTTATTGAATAATAATAACTTTGAAGAATAAATAATATTAAAGGATATTTTATATAAAAATTAGGTCTGTAGTACCAAATTATAATTAATATTAATTAATT